CCTGAAAGTTTTCTAAGGTATTTTTAAAAGCACCTGCAATTATAAAAAACAAGTATGGACCTCGTAAAACATCCTAAAACGTTGATATGTGGTGCAAAAGAAAATATGCACAATTAATATGGTCAAACGATTGGGTCTCATTTTACCATAATTGCAAGTACCTGAAATAAAATAAATGCATAATTATGTATGGTATAAAAAGTTATTTATTGAATAAAAATAAGATCTGTTACTACAGTCGCACTTATAGTAACACTTGCATTAAAATCATTAGCAGACGCAATGATGGTACTACATTTTTCCTTAGTATTGCCTTCGCAGTACGAGGTACATAGACTGTCAAGGAAAAATGTAGTTTACACAAATGATAATTTTTATTTAAAAGCTATGAATCGATGTGCCTCAGCATGGGGTTGCACATTGCTTCTACCCAAGCCTTCGATAGTTCCAAGTCTTTTGCGAAGCAATGTGATCCCACTTGTAGGCACACCGGTGTACAACCAGGAACAACACATCTAAAAGAGGAAATGTCTTTCTTCAAAGAAGACATTATGAAGGTCTATGATATGAAAATAGAAGAGAAATTAGAGAAAAGAAAACAGAGTAGACAAATAAGAATAGAAAAGTAAGAAAGTATGAAATAGGGTTAGCCTGGAAAGATGAGTGGCGTAGCCTTCGTCTCGTTGTCGTAATTCTTGTAAATCGTCGTCCACAAAAGTTCCACCAAGTAAATAGTCTGGATCTTGAACACAATCACACTCAAAAAGAAAACACTGAACTGTAATTGCACTGAACACACTTCAAAATTCACCAGCGTAAATTCGTAGATGCGAAGCCGTCGCCGAATCGGAAGACAGTAACGCACAGGGACTTGTTTACACAACAAATTTATTTTTTCCAAGATGGCGACTGCGCATGCGCACGTTACCGCGGCGCCATCTGAGCGGTAGGTTGTATAAGTATTCTATGCTTTACTATAGCCCATTTGGAGTGTCACCCCCCTGCTATGATGTAACATGTCGTTATAAACGTCAATTTGTTGCAATTATTTTCTGCGGTCTGTGATGTTTTAATTTAAGTATATTTTTGATGTGCTAATTCTATTGCATCGTGAGACTGGTATTATGGAAAATTCATAAAAGTGACAAAATATTGTTTATCAGTTGCTTCACATTTATAACAATCGTGGATGAAATTTAACAAATTTTAAAAGCTCATTAATTATACAAACTTTTACAATAGTTTTATTTTACGTGTTTAAATTAAGCTTTTTATTCGAGAAGTGCAGGATTATTCTAGGCATTGATACCGTTAAGACCATAGGTATGAATTATAAAAAATTACTCATTTGTGAGATGTCTGACATTTATACTCATAGAAATCCTAACTTTTGCAACAGTAAGGATGGATCTTATTATATTTTATATAGTCATCACTTTATTTTATTATTATTGAGTAACAAATTAATTAGTTTAGGTTAGAATACACATGTATTGCATGCTAATAATATTTCAACTAATAAGATATTACATAATCACTTCAGTTGGCAATAAATATTTAAATAAAATATAATTTCATCATAATAGTATCTATGATAGAATTACTTGACAAATTGATTTAAGTGTTTAATTGATTGAAAACATTTTAGCAAACTCTTAAATGATATGCAATAGCAATAAAGAATAAATAATTTCTATGTATTTCAAACTTATAATCAGACTTTGAAGATTTGGTTTGACATATGTATGAACAAAGATATGTTTTATATAGCGATTTAATGTGTTACAATTACATTTTAATAATTTTTGTAAAAAAGAAACATCTTGTTTTAACTCTTGGTTAATTAGTATTATAATTTAGTATTTTAGTTTTTTGCACAGTTATTTATTATCCATGTGTAAAGAGATTATGTTTTTAGTTCTCTCGATGCCATCAATAATTGTGTTGAGTAGAAAGACATTTCTTATATTATTTATAAAATACACTTTTTGTAAAGATAACTGTTAGTCAGGTTAAAGTACTTTGCGTTTTCTTGTATGAACTTTAATTCTTATCTGGACTTCCTTGAGTTTTCTTCAATTTATTTGCAGTAATGTTAAATGGGATTAAGTAAATATTTTCTGATTCAGTTAAATAGACATAAATTATCACCTAGGAATAATCTTGCTTTTTACATGCTTTGGTTTCTTACTTCAAACTTGTGGAACTTATCTCTCTCACCTTATGATTTAACGATTGTTATCATAAGCTTCTATGATTAATCGATGGTCGTAGATAACAGTCACCATGATGACACTGATTTAATTTCAGTCTATACAAATTTTCATCAATAGACAGTATAGATTTAGCGACCCTCTTTAAATATTGAATTTTAGTTCTTCGGTTTTTAAGAACTCTGATGTCAGTTATTTCATATGACAAAAGTGAGTTTGCATAGTTTTATTTGAGTTATATTTGGACATTATTTTTATTATAGTGAAGGATATACATGTATATTGTAATGAACAAATATAACCAGGAGCTAGCATACTTTTCTTATAGACTTTGTGCAACTATTTTACATCTTATTTTATCCACATTATATCTTTCTTCATTGATACATTGTTCATAAATATAATGGACTACAAGATCGCTGTGTGATATGGACACGTAATATGCATAGAGCTTAATTTGCCAGTGAAAAGTGTATATTATTGCAATAATGAAACCAATTGTGATAATTTATAGATATCATTGATTGACTTATATAACCCAGCTGAAGTTAATCTGTTCACTTAATTTGTACGAAAGAGCCCATTTATTCGTTTAATTTTACACCATGAGTAGAGTATACAATTATGCTGTTCTATCATTGAAGTAATTTTGATTAATATCAAAGATTATTTATGCTGCTTTCGGATAGAAGCTATTACAATCAAGTGCAAGTTATTTTATTCGTTCAAGTCCCTTATATGCCTTTGTGTAGCATTAGTTGAAATCTTTTCATTTAATCAACTTTTGTAGAAACTTGTTTTCTTAATTAATGTGTAGCTTATAATAACTGAGCATGTTAATAGTAGTTGTACAACTTCTATTGATCGTTTACTGTGCTTTCAATTTTTCAGTAGCAGATATGCAGTGAAAACATGGATGGAAAAGTGCATGCAAAGACGGCCAAGAATCCAAGAGCAAACGCAAATATTTTCAGCGTTTTAACATTTTCGTAAGATTTATCAGTTTTACATTAATTTTAACGTTTAAACCTGTTTGAAATTACACCATTGTTAACCTTTAAAGGACCGGCAATTTTGTATGAAGAAAGTAATCTTTTTTCACTGAAAATTCATGTATATAAATAACTTAATGTTTCGCAAAGTCGCAAGTTTTTTAATGCCACTATAGTGGCGTTGCTGGTCCTTTAAACGTTAAATACAGCGAAATTTTTAGTATACACCGGATTGTTTTTCTTGTGTTTGATAATTATTATAATTCTCAGAATCAAAAATCGTTGGCCTAATACTGATAAGCACTCTTGTTGAAACTAGTTGCAGCTTTTTATATTCCAACGAGATTCTTTAGAAATAGTTATTAATTAATATTTCGTTGGATAAGTTTTAATTCAAGACAGATTATAAAATTTCAACCAATTTCTGACTTCTTTAACCCTTTCGCTACGGGCGACTTCTCCGCCGTGGTATTTCCGCTGAACGTGCCGCCGCGCCAAAAATGTGCACGGTGCTCGAGTAAAATCGGCAGCGGCCGCGTATTAACTTTTTATTAAACTTTGACATTAGAGAATAGAATTGTAAGATAATAATTACAGTTAATAATGATATTGTGTGTACAATACGCGGCATTTTATGCATAGCGGCGGCTATAGCCGCCCGTAGTATGTGAGTGGCATTTTATGGAGAGCGACTATAGTCGCCTGTACTGGCGAAAGGGTTAAAAGTGATTTTTTGATAGATTAATTTTTTTGAAGTTAGTATTTTGATTTATATAACTATTTAAACAAGTTCTTTACATCTTGCTTTAATCAAGAAGCTTTCTTTACGCATTGTTGAACAGAAATAATGATGAGTCTCTTTATTATTTCATTGTTTAAATAGTCACAATTTGTATCATGTATTACTACCACTTATCAATATGGCTGTGTTTAGCAGAAGTAACGCTGAGGGATCAAATACATTTGATTGGTTATTTAATCACAATTTTTCCAACAGTTAAAAAATTTAACAAATCAGATGGGTTTACTCTGTTAGCGTTATTTCTACTGAACACACTCATTGATAATTAAATTTGTTGTGTCGTAATGTATCTAGTACTATCAGTATATGTGTGATATTGACCGATCTGAAAGTTTGATTACTTAGCTTAATCCGAAGGAATGTCTTATCTTGCTTTACACAGGGTTGTCTTTATATAATCAGTACAACTTTTGCACTAGAATGTACAACCTTCACATTATCTGTACTATTTTTTTGACTCAGTGCAAAGAATATGGTAAAGTCAACTTCCCTTCATCGTATATGTATCGTTTTAATCTGTATATGTCGTGTATACAAAGTGAAATCTTTATTTGAAATATTTCATTACTATATGATTTCTTCACAAGAATGAACAAAATTGAAACTATCTATTCTTTCAAAAACTTTTCTGTCATAAAATAAGACATGTTTTTTTATATTCTCAATAGATGGATTATCCGTACGTTTTGGGTGGGTTATCGGAGAGATTTGGAAGTAACTGACTTGTATGCCCCACTTAAAGAACATAAGAGCAGTATTCTTGGAGATAAAATATCCGCAGTTTGGGAGAATGAATACCAACGCTTAAATGGGTTACAAAAGCAGAAAAAAAAAGATAAGACCGGAAACAAGGATGAAAGCAAATCGGAGATATTGGAGCCCAGTTTGATGCGTGTTTTAATCAGATGTTTCGGCGCACGCATCATGATGTATGGCATTGCCTTAGCCATAATGGAAATCGTTCTCAGGTAAAACTTATAATATATAGCATATTATTTTTTCGTGCAAACTCTTTATGTTTTATATTATTTCAGAATTTAGTTTAAAGTCCTATATGCATTGATGATTTATAGGTTAAAAGCATTTTACGATTTAATCATGAATTTATGTGCTAAGAAGAATGGAATATATTGCTATTGAATTGAGTCTGCTCTATAATACAATATATGTATTTAAAGAAAAATTGTGAAACTTATATATACACAAGATAGATATACAAATGTTTGATTAATTTTTATCCGATTTGAAGATAGTGATAGTGTGGAAAAGACATGTGGACTAATTTTTATAGGAGCCTGTTTCTCATATTTTCTATTAAAAAAAATGATGTCTTTTATCTTCAGTTTTAGAAAATTAGTTTTATGTAAATTTGTGAACATAATGGATTATTTTAGAGTTTCAATAAATGTCGAATTTGATTTTTCCTCTTTTGAAATTGATGGTTTTTATACTCAACAAAATTGGAACATAGATTATAGTTCCCTATTGACTGTTTCAAGTGCCTACACATTTAAATTTGTATTACGGTAGTTTCTTTGTTTCAAATTATTATTATATCTTGTGTGAAATACAAATTTCAAGAATTTATGGGATAAGAAATTGAATTACGATTTTGAAATGCTCAGATAACAAATAATTAATTGTTACTGAAATCACTATAGATTGTTTCAACCATTGTTCCTTACTCTTCTACTCCAATATTATGGTCAGAGAAAGTCCTCTTATACACCGATTTATAAAGAACAAAATAGTCCTGGACAGCAAATGGAATATACCACCAGATCGTTAAGTCCCAAAGAATACCTTTTAAATTTTGATATTACCTAGCACTATATGCATTATTTTCAATAGGTTATATATGATTTTTGTCCCTTCCTAATTACCATTTTATCCTAATCTACCTTTAATACAACGAGTTGAATTCTTATATGTATTTAAAAAGATAATGAAAAGTAACCAATTAGCTATAAATTTTAATATCTTTGATAAATCTTATGGAAATCGTTTTAAATACATTAGCGTTTTATTAATCAAATAATTAATTGCATTGCAAGATACGATTGATTTATATTACCAATTGAAATTATGTGAATTGTTCCAACATAATTGTGATAGACATAGTTGGGCCGCGACATCAGACTCCAATTTCGACAGATGGACTGTAACCTATTTTCGATAAAGATATTACACTGAATTTGAATTGAGTATACTTCAAATAATCACAACAATGCTAAATTCTTTATTGTTTGATTTTTTTTTCGTTAACTGATTCGGAATCTAATATTCGGCCCGATTATAATGTTGAATGGGAATGTTTTTCAAGCATGTACTTTTTTTTAATTGATAAAAGATCAATATATTTTTAATACAATATATTTTTTTTTTAATATAGGGTAACACAGCCATTGTTTCTGGGTCGCTTACTGCGATTCTACAATTCAGAAAAAATATCTCCATTAGAAGCATACTTGTACGCCGCAGGAGTGATCATGTGTTCAGCCGTAAACATATTTGTAATTCATCCGTACATGATGGCGATTCTTCATATGGGAATGAAGATGCGGATCGCCTGTTGCACTTTGATCTATAGAAAAGCTCTAAGGTTGTCGAAAACGGCCTTGGGTGAAACAATGGTAGGACAAGCAGTTAATCTCTTGTCTAACGACGTGAACAGATTTGACGTGGCCATTATATTTCTGCATTATTTGTGGATCGGTCCACTAGAAACTGCTGTTATGACGTATTTCCTGTACAATATAGTTGGTATTTCTGGTGTAATTGGCGTATTATCTTTGCTCATGTTTATACCCCTACAAGGTACATAGTAATGTGCTATTAAAAAAAAAAATTATTTTTACGCAGTATTGAAATTATTTGACGTTTAATGCCTTTCCTTTCTTATACAGGATTTCTTGGTAAAAAATCGTCAGTATTACGCTTGCGAACGGCCATTAGAACCGACGAGAGAGTGCGTCTGACGAATGAAATTATTAGCGGTATTCAAGCAATCAAAATGTACACATGGGAAAAGCCATTCAGTCTTCTTGTTGAATATGCACGAAAGTATGTTAAGATTTGATTGGCTTTATTTTTTATTCAACTTTCATTATATCCTTTTAGTTGAAAATGTCATATATTGAAATTTATCCGTAGGCGTGAAATCAAGGTTATAAGATCTACATCGTATATCAGAGGTGTGATTATGTCCTTTATTATATTTACAACAAGATTTTCCCTCTTCATAACTATACTTGCTTACGTTCTTTTTGATAATCGTATCACTGCTGAAAAAGTTTTCATGTTGACAGCATATTATAATATTTTGCGTCAAACGATGACCGTATATTTTCCGCAAGGTAAGTGGTAAAATCAAATTCGAGTACTTGCAAAAAGCATTTAAAAATATTTACTTTGAATATGATCAATCGCATAGAAATATTGTTTCACAGGCATAACTCAAATAGCAGAGGCTATTGTATCTATCAAACGATTGCAAAAATTCATGATGTACGAAGAAAGAGTAGTACCAGAAGACGTAGATACGAGAGCGACAAACAATAAAAATGAAAAAATGAGCAGCAGTGAGTCCGAGAGGACATCGAAAGCAGCCAGTTCGATAATAATGCAAAATGGCTGTGCAAAATGGTTGACTACGGAAAACGAAAATACTTTGAAAAATATTAGCCTAAATATTACTCCAGGGCAATTAGTAGCTATTGTCGGCCAAGTTGGTTGTGGAAAGTCAAGCTTATTGCATGTAATTTTGCGAGAGTTACCTTTACTGTCTGGATCTTTACAGGTACCGTATAATATTCGGATTGTCTCGATTAATTTTTAATTTCATCTAAAATTAATTAATTTTTAAAAATATATTTCGTAATGCCTTACCTTTTATTCAAGAATTTTATTTTATGAAAGTACTTATTGATTGCATATAATGAAAATAATGTATAATTTAGGTCAATGGCAACATTGCGTACGCCAGTCAGGAACCATGGTTATTTGCTGGTTCAGTTCAACAGAACATTTTATTTGGTCGAAAAATGGATCAGCATCGATATGACCAGGTTGTTAAAGTCTGTCAGTTAAAGAGAGACTTTTGTCTTTTGCCTTATGGCGATCGAACTGTTGTTGGAGAACGTGGGATTAGTCTTTCCGGTGGACAACGTGCTAGGTATGTTAAATATTAAGGAATGATCATAGAATTTCGTCAATACTTATGTCTCGTGTTTTAATGAACTAAATTAGAATCAACTTGGCGAGAGCAATTTATGCTGAAGCATCCATCTATCTTTTGGACGATCCCCTTAGTGCTGTTGATGCTCATGTTGGAAAGCATATGTTTGATCAATGTATTGATGAACACTTGCAAGGTAAAACGAGACTTTTAGTCACCCACCAATTGCAATATCTTCGGGACGTGGATAAAATTATTGTTCTAAAGGATGGATCTATATTAGCTGAAGGGTAAGTGATTCTATGAATATTAAAGCCCATTTATGTGTATATTTAATTCCAAATATTCTCATTTTTATAATGAGAACGTCAAAAAATCTACCCATAATTAGTCTTTTCTTTATTTCTTTTGAAGTATATTTGATAAATATTTGAATTCACATAGAATATCATGTTCTGCTGAAATATTATATTATTGCTTTATGATAATTGTAAAAATGGCATTAATCACGTAGAGGGTGAGGCGCGTGAATTAGAACACCTGTTTATGTCTGTTGGATTTGAAGATACGGAGTTCGTAAATATCGGAATTTAAATTATTTGGAAGGGCGCTATAATTGGGTCGTTATAATTTTTTTTCATTTTTTACCAGTTTTTTCAAGGTTATCAAAATTTTTTTTTAATGGAATGGCATATTTTTTCTTCATTACACATTGTAGCCGGCATCCAAACGAATCCAACCATGTAACATAGTATGACCTTTAAATGACCTCCAACCCAGAAATATGGAATGAATATTAATTCGACGTGTAAGAGATTTGGCTTTATTTCTATTACGCTAAACGATTCCTGTGAGCCGGGTCACATCCAGGCCAGCTCGATCACCAGATCTTACACTCCTCAATTTCTATCTATGGGGAAAACTGAAGGACGAAGTCTATCATGAACGACCAACTACTGCAGAGAACATAAAAGAAAGAATCGCCAGGGCTTGTGCATCGATTCCTTTAGAAATAAACTACAGAGTAGTAAATTACTACACGGTTGAACAAATGTATTTCAGTGTAACGGAGTTATTTTGAACATTTAGCGTAACAGAAATAAAGCTAAATCTCTTACACCTCGTTTTTATCATATTACCATATTTCTGGGTTGGAGGTCATTTAAAGGTCATACTATGTTACACAGTTGGATTCGTTCGGATGCCGGCTACAATGTGCAAGGAGAAAAAATATGCCATTCCATTTTAAAAACCTCTGATAACCTTGAAAAAACTGGTAAAAAAATGAAAAAAATTATGACAGCCATGTGCGCCCTTTCAACCATTTAAATTCCGATATTTACGAACTCCGTATCTTCAAATACAAAAGAGATATTCAGGTGTTCTGTTTCTTGCGCCTTACAATGTAAATTCATGGTATAATGGTTTAGCCCATTAGATTTCTATTAATTTCCATGGAGCAGAACCATCTTCAGGTGGTTTAATAGTCCTTAACACTAGATTTACGGATATCTCTACATACATACCTATCTCTACGGATACGCGTCAAATTGACGCGTGAAAGGAACCGCTCAGTTTTTTGAACAAAGAAACTTGTTTTATTCCAAAAGAACGTCATTATAAACTATTAACTCATAATATTATACATAGGTATATCCTTTGAAATTCAAAACGCGATAAAGAGACGCGTCCTGTAAACCTAGTGTTAATAACCGTGTATATTTAGCTTTGATAGGAATTAAGTTCAATTACGCATGGTTATTTATACAATAAGACAACAACTATTTGAACTAATTCGAATTTATATGAATCATATAATTGGCAATTATAGTAAAGTAGGAACCCCATTACATTTATATACACCATTGTTACTTATTTGTAAAATACGTAGTGGTACTATATTGCATGGGTAACAGATATAATCATTTTTACTTTTTGTATTCGTAGATTTTCTTGAATCAAAAATATTTCAATCTTGAGTTTTAAAAGTACAATGCATTACTATATTGGAGTAACGTATAAAGTGGAAGCGAACCGTTTCTAGATAATGATTTTAAATGGCAGTAGAAAAGAAATAAGTGAAGTAAATATTGCCGGATCCACAGCATCCTTGTTAAACATTTTGTTACGATATGTTAGAGTTTGGTGAAATATGATTGAAAACTTGAAAACTAACAGTATGAATAATTGATTGTAAGATTATTGAGTATGTCGTTAATGTAAAATGCATGTAATCACCGTTCTAATAATTTGAGTATAGTCAGTTAGCATTTAGATAATCGTTATTTTACTATAACGAACATAATAATCATGAATACTTTTTACCTATACAGTACTTATGATGAGCTGGGTGCCAAAGGCGTTGATTTTGGTCGCTTGTTAGAATCCCAAAGTGAATCCGATGATCAGTCATCTTCAGCTCCTGCCAGCCGACGTAGTTCACGACACACAAGTATTACTTCTCTCACTTCGGTGAAAACTAATGATACCAGCAAGAAACCAGAAAATCCGGAAGAGGTTAATATACATAATAATCAAAATATAAATTGTTATAAGTCACAATTTTTTTATTCAAATAATTGAATAGAATCGAATGATGTAATGTTTATTCTTTACGAATGCAATCTGAAAGTGAAAGCATTTTTCGAGTTGTTTGTCTGTAATTCGCGCGAGACTGGACCGAGTCTCTTTATGTTCAAAACATCCGTTAGTAACCCTTTACGGTATACACTGTGGCTAGACTATGACAAAGTTCGTGTTTTTCACGGCCCTCTTTCCAAAGCTAGACGGTGAACGATTTTAAAACATTTATAGGATGTCTGTATAATGTCCCTATATGGTTTGGTGGTTTTTAAAAATTAAACACCTACATTTTTTTCGAATATCAGAGTTAAACATATGACATACACATTTTCTTGATATAATCAATATGTAGAGGGGTGTACTACTATTAACAGTTCAAATTTCAGCAAATTTGTATGAAAATTGATTTGACGAGATTACTTAATGTGGAAAAGAGGTTTTTCTTGTTGCAGTTTTCAAAACCTATCGCACTCAAATATAATTAAAAATTTATTATAGGAATCTGAAATGCGCAGCTCAGGTAGTGTCGCTAGCTGGATATATGCTGCTTACTTACGTGCTAGTGGTCGTTTTTACACTGTGTTCTTAATAATGGGGTTGTGCATCATAACGCAATTGGCTGCCAGTGGTGGAGATTACTTTATAGCTATGTGGGTCAACATAGAAGAGAGTTCTGTGAGTACTTGTACTTATACAGAGAAATATTAAAACAAGATAATTCTATAAAATTAAAAATTTAACACCATTTTAATAAACAACAATACTACACTTGAATATGATATATGGATATTAATTTAGTTATGTGATTTCTACAGGGGGACACTTGGAACAGTTGGTTGTCTCGCAATGCTTGTATCTATATCTACAGTGCATTGACAATTTTCACTATCGTCATTACCCTCATTCGGTCAATTTCTTTTTTCGCAATGTGTATGCGATCATCCAGGCAGCTGCATAACCGCATGTTCCGTTCCGTTACACGGGCAACAATGCGATTCTTTAATGTGAACAGTTCTGGCCGTATACTTAACCGATTTTCAAAGGATCTGGGCGCGGTAGATGAGCTGCTGCCGAACGCTATGATCGATTCCGTTCAAATTGGTCTGGGTCTTCTCGGAATCATAGTGGTAGTCACCATAGCAAATGTTTGGCTGTTGATACCGACGGTGGTAATCGGCATTATCTTCTACTTCCTGCGTGTCATCTACCTGTCAACAAGTCGCAGCGTGAAACGCCTCGAAGGAATCAGTGAGTCCACGCTCAGAATATCATACTTTATATGTCACGTTAAAAGTGTCATCTTTCCCTTTCGTTTTTCTAAAAATTTGTCACCTAATTACTGTCATGCTCTTGTATAGAGAATATTTAATATTTTCTCATCTTATCAAAAATTAAAGATAATTTGATAAAATTGTTGAAAAGAATTAGTGACTAATGATAAACGGTCACCAGCCCGGTCTCCGGTGTTTGGTCACCTGAATGCAACTATACAGGGATTGACGACGATCCGGGCATTTGGAGCCAGTGAGATCCTCATCAAGGAATTCGATAATTATCAGGATTTGCACTCGTCGGCTTGGTACATATTCATTGCCTCCTCCCGTGCTTTTGGATTTTGGCTGGATGTGTTCTGCGTCATATATATAGCGCTGGTCACGCTCAGCTTTTTCCTGTTACCATCTTCTGATAGCATTACGGCTAGCAACGTTGGATTGGCAATTACGCAAAGTATTGGTCTCACAGGGATGTTTCAATGGGGAATGAGGCAAAGCGCCGAGTTGGAGAATCAAATGACATCCGTTGAACGTATATTGGAGTACAGGTAAAGCTGAAGGACCATTTGTTGTTAAAGAGAAAAATAAACGGACAGTGACTGCAACTAGAGTTCATCTATAAAACTCATATTATGACTTTCAGTAATATAGAATCCGAGCCATCTTTGGAAAGTGCAGCCGAGAAGAAGCCAAAGGATGATTGGCCAAGCCAAGGTCAGATCGAGTTTAGTGACGTATATATGCGCTATTCTTCGCTCGATCCGCCGGTGCTAAAGAACCTCAATTTCGTGATAAAGCCGCGAGAAAAAGTGGGCATCGTTGGAAGAACGGGGGCCGGCAAATCATCCCTTATCTCAGCTTTGTTCCGTTTGGCTGATATCAAAGGTTCCATTAAGTTAGATGATGTGGACACTAGCGAAATTGGTTTGCACGATTTTCGATCGAAGCTCAGCATTATTCCTCAGGAACCTTTCCTCTTCTCTGGTACTTTGCGACGTAATCTCGATCCTTTCAACACTTATGATGACGTTGTTCTGTGGCAAGCTCTCGAAGAAGTTGAACTCAAGGAAATGGGATTGGATGCTCACGTAAACGAAGGTGGATCTAATTTGAGCGTCGGCCAACGACAGTTGGTTTGTCTAGCAAGAGCAATAGTACGTAACAATCCGATACTCGTTCTCGACGAAGCTACTGCTAATGTTGATCTACGTACGGATGAACTTATACAGCTAACTATTCGTCGCAAATTTGAGTCTTGCACAGTATTAACAATTGCACATCGCCTGAATACTGTTATGGACAGCGATAGAATTATGGTCATGGATGCTGGAAATGTTGCGGTAAGTTTTAGTACCTTTCTCTGTTCTAGATAAATTATTTAGGCACGTCTAGGATATGTTCCTTGATGAAATAATTTAAATTTCTAGGAATTCGACCATCCTTACGTTCTTCTACAGAAAAATGAAGGTCTTTTTCTGAACATGGTGAAACAGACAGGGAGCAGAATGGCTGATTCTTTGATTGCGGTGGCTCGAGAAAGCTTCTCTCGTACTACTACATTATAAATCGGTATTAAAACCCTCGTAAAATGGTATTATTTTTACTGCTGCATGCGTACGAGTTGACAAACTTCTAAGTAACTGGCTATATTCCACTAGCAGACAGTACTCGGACATTTCACTAATTCAATTTATTGTTTTATCTATAATCATTCAGTTAATCAGACTTCTTCGAATGATTGAATATGAAGTATCGCAGAATACCATTGAAACACATTTATATATGTATGCGTACGCATATACATAGGGGACAGATAAATATAGATGCGCATTAAAACAGTTCGAGGCTTGTCCCGAATCACGCAAATGAATTCTGTACAGTATTACGTATTGTAAAATATCTCTGATTCATAATCATGGCATTAGTTAGTCCTTTTCGTATGCTGCGTTTCAATCAATTAATATTCGACAGAACTTGGAGCTTATCCTCCCCGTTTTACATCTATTTTTCATGGTTTATTAATGCTGAAATTATGACAACAACGGATTTAAGATGTTCTTAAACATATTAAACTTAAGGTATAGTGCAATATAATGACAAAAATATTTTTGTACTTGTATTTCTTAGTCTGAAAGTGATATGCAAGCCTGCCTTTATTGATTCTATTCGTACTTATTGTTAGCACGAGTGTTTACCGTTATTGGTACTATTCGTTTCTATACATGTTTAGTGCCTGAAATGTCCAAGGTGCTTCGATAATATGTTCTGGCGAGATACGACGTGTAACTTTTTGATGAATTTTTTTAAAAGATAAAGGTGATTCTATAAAACTTCTAAGATTATATTTCAGATAAATGTATTCAAAAAAGCATGTCTACTATGTACGCAGTTTCCACGTGCATCTTGTGCCACGTAGTCTTACTAAACTTGCTTTTAAGAAGAGGCTCAATCTAATTTTATATTTGGTAATTCATTTTCAATGTCATATCTCGTCCTACGTAATCAAATTGAGATCAGATTTAGAAAAATTAAATAATGTTGTATTTCCTACAGTTATGTTTGATGTAAATAAAAGTGCCTATACCCTGAAAGGTTCTTAGTAAAGTTGAAATATAAAATATTATTTGTAATAAAAAGTGTTGTGTCCATCGATTGTTTCCACAGCTTTAATGTTAATAACAGTTATAACAGGCCATTCTACAATGCAACGGAACACGTAACACGGAACATATAAACGGTAAGATACAATATTCAATTGTATATTTACCTAATTCCATTGGATCCTCCAATCAAGAAGGAGAAAATCGTTTTTAAAACCGAGCGTTTACTAAGTCTCTATGATTTTGGCGACGACTTGGACATAGCAACGATACGGAAGCGGTTGCTAGGATCGTTAAGGGTTTCACGGAGCACGTAACGTGATGAGTAACATCGAGCATGCCCCGTTCTGTAATCCGTAACGGCTTATGTTAAAAATACATAGCATCGATACGGATGCGATTGCTAGGGTCGTTAAGAATCCCCCAAAAAACACTTACGTGTAAAAAACTACGCCAAGTACAGGATTGCTGTGAATTCCTCTAACAAAAAGTATTGATATCATATTATTGAGGCCAAGTACATAAGTCACTACATGTTTTCCTATTATATGATCTAGCACTGGCCCATCATTTTAATTATATTTTCAATATTTCCTATAACGTTTTCGCTACTTTTTTATGTTACTACTGCTTCCCGTATTTAATTATGATTTAATGGTGATTTAATAATTAAAAAAACTTTAGGTGATTCCTTATCGAGTACTACGTGGCGGGTCCGTGCATTTCTTGATATAAATTTGGTACAAAACCAGTACCAATTTTCTATAGAAAGCATATTAACAATAACTCGTCAAAAATAAACACGGTAAAAGCTTAATAACAAACATACAGCATTAGAATACTATGAGCACGTATAAAGAGTAAGTACTTTGGAATTCCTGGCACAGACCCGCCAAGTAGTACTCGATAAGGAATCACATAAAGTTTTATTAATTATTAAATCACCATTAAACCATAATTAAATACGGGAAGCAGCAGTAACATAAAAGAGTAGCGAAAACGTTATAGGAAATATTGAAAATATAATTAAAATAATGGGCCAGTGCTAGATCATATAATAGGAAAAAATTTCGTGACTTATGTACTTGGCCTCAATAATATGATATCAATACTTATTGTTAGAGGAATTCACAGCAATCCTGTACTTGGCGTAGTTTTTTACACGTAAGTGTTTTTTGAGGGATTTCTATGACTCTAGTAGGCCAGAAGGGCGCTCAATATTCAGCCATTAAATAATTCGAAAAGATCTATAAGCAACGAACAGCAACTAGAAGATGCGAGACATCAATAAATTATGATAGGAGATATCGCCTAAAAGCGCGGCGTTACAGCAAAATTTGACTATAGGAGAAAACTTTATTTAGAGACAGATTCCAGTATAGAGCTTACTTTAGGGCCTCATGCGGCAAAAATCCAACAAACAGCGGAGCACGTAACGTCATTGTCAAATGTTATTACCTGTCACCTGTCATTACCAACTCTATAGACGAGGTCATTATCAATATCGTTAGAGAAATCAAATTTCTCTACGATAAAATTCATCGTGACTTTAAAAATGAAGTAATGTTTTACTTATTTATATGAATAAACGCACACACATTTTTTCTAAATATTTATGTATTGACAGATAATAACAGGTGACAGGTAATGACATTTGACAATAACGTTACATGCTCCGTGAAATCCTTAACGATCCTAGCAACCGCTTCCGTATCGTTGCTATGTCCAAGTCGTCGCCAAAATCATAGAGACTTAGTAAACGCTCGGTTTTAAAAACGATTTTCTCCTTCTTGATTGGAGGATCCAATGGAATTAGGTAAATATACAATTGAATATTGTATCTTACCGTTTATATGTTCCGTGTTACGTGTTCCGTTGCATTGTAGAATGGCCTGTTAAGGGGAGGGTGCGACGTTGGTTACACGGATTTTGAAGTCCTTTTGCGGTAGGAGAGTACTTGGTAGTGACAAATGATAGGCCAATCGGCAGGACCCAACGCGTAGCCGTTTTCGAAAAAAATCGGTTTGAAAAATGCAGCACTATTCATATACCTGGAACGTTGCTCACGTTTTCGAGAAGGCGGTGTAGCTCGATGGCAGCGCACCTGACTACCACGCGACCGGCCACGGTTCTATTCCCGACCTTATGTTGTTGGTGCTTGTCTAATTGACATTGAGAAGGCATTTGATTCGGTATGGATTAATGGGTTACTTTATTTGTTCCATACATTGGGGTACCCTAGGGAATGCACCCATCTTATATGGAGTATGACAGAAAAGAGGTCTTTTTGTACTTGGAATGGTAAACTAGTATCTACCCTTGCATTTAATATAGTTGAGGGACTAATGCAGGGCACTGTAAATTCACCGATTCTATTTAATATATACACACATGGTATTCCTAATCTGGGGAGTCTTAATAGTGATAACAATACATACTCTGCGGCCTATGCTGATGACTTAATTATATTAGTAGCAGATAATCAACCACTGATAGTACAAAATAAACTCAACAGATTAATAACTCAAATTAATGATTATTACACACAATGGAACCTTAGAATAAACCCGCTTAAATGTGAATCAATATTTTTTCATAAACCTCTAAGGTTTCTAAATAGTAATAAACGTAAAGACATAAATAGCTTTCAACTATATATAAAAAATCAGGATATGGAATATTTGATTGAACGTAAAAAAGTAGTCAAATACCTAGGTGTACATATTGATTATCTAGTCCGTATGAATAGTCATGTGAATATACAATTAAGTAAAGCCAAAGCTGTGTTTAGGGCACACAGTACGTTATTCTGTAATAAGTCATTGTCACATAAGGCCAAAGCAATTTGCTACATGTTACTAGTCAGACCTATCATTACCTATGCATCACCGGTTTGGTGGAACTATAGTGCGTCCATGATGGAAAGGACCAGAAAATTTGAGCGGCTCTGCCTGCGTGCAGCCCTACACACATTCAGGAAAACTGACAGCAAACGTTTTTATAGTAATAAACATCTATATAATAAGGCCAAAATACCACGTATTGACAATTTTATAACCAGAATTAATAGAGACTATTTTGCAGGGATCAAAGAATCCAATAACAAATATATAAAAAAGTATAGCGAACCGTCCTTTTATGATTGTAAGGAGAGAGCAATGACTGGGTATTTGCATCCTCAATCATTTATATACTTTGATAGTAATGGTTCAATACAGGATTCTAATAGTGTTCCTATTATATATCATAGGTCTCGCCATCGGGCTAATAAATGTCGTAGCTAGTTCTTTTATCGGCTAAGGATAAGTGGGGGTGACTAAGCACACGCGCTTTTTTCAAGATTTCCTTTATTGTCAAATGATATAAACTTGGAACTATTAAACCACGCGTAGTATTGCAATGTAAAGATGGCGACGACCACCTCGCGCGCACGTTGTTCTCATGGAGACTAAAGCTGTGGCGTCCCGTTCGAGGATTGACTAAAGCGCCGTGGCGTCTGCGGCGGCCACCGAGCGAGACAGCTGCAGGGACGGTGCGGACCGCCACATCCACTCCTCTCCCAGTGACCTCGTCTATGCTGAAGACGTAGATGAGGGAAACGAGACTTTCTTTCTATATGTTTTCTTCGATGGGTCTACGAACTACCCCCATTGATGCGGTTGTATCATTGGCTCCTCGTCCTCGGGAACCGAGTCGTCTTTCTTGATATAGGCCGGTTTTAACTGTTCGACCAATATGGTTTTTTCCACGCCATTGACGTCGATGACGAATCGCCTATTATCGAGTTTTTTAATGATTTTGTAGGGTCCATCGAATGGCGGTTCAAGTGGAGGTTTCACCGCGTCGTTCTGTATGTAGACGTGTGTGCTGTTGTAAAGGTCTTTTAACACGAGTATTCGAGCTTTGTGTGGTGTGCGGTCGGTGTCGGTCTCAGCCCCCTCATGTGTTCTCGAAATTTTTCAACTAATACCTTGGGATCTGCCGGCATTTCGATGTTGATGAAGAATTCTCCGGGAACTCTGATGGTTGTTCCATACAGCATCTCGGCACACGAAGCCCCCAAATCTTCCTTGAAGCAGGTCCGGAGTCCGAGAAGTACAGTGGGTAGAAGTTCGAGCCACGGAACTTGCCTGTTGCACATCAATGCCGATTTCAGAGTGTAATGCCAGCGTTCAATCAATCCATTCGATGCTGGATGGTATGGTGTAGTATGTATTTTCTTAGCGCCAACCAAATGGGTCAACGACGTGAACACCGCAGACTCAAATTGACTGCCTTGGTCCGTCGTTATCGTGAGTGGCGTGCCGAATCGGGAGATTCAGTGAGTGAAAAACATGGATGCTACCGTGTCCGCTGTAATATTTTGCATGGGAACAACTTCCGGCCAGCGCGAGAACCGGTCCATCATACTTAAACAGTACCTGTAACCGTTGACCACCGGGAGTTCGATGATGTCCAAGTGTACATGGTTGAAACGATTGTCTGGCACCTCGATGTAGTTTGGCTCCAGTCTATTGTGTCGGTGAACCTTCGATCTCTGACATGGTTCATACGTCCGCGACCATTCCAGAGCGTCCTTTTTAATGCCTGGCCACACGTACTTTTGACGGAGCATGCGGCACGTGCTCCGTCCACTGGAATGGGATAGAGCGTGTACCGAGTCGAAAGCTTTACGACGTAGGCTCACGGGAATGTATGGTCGCACTACCACCTCGGCAATGTTGCTGTAAACCAAAGTTCTAGGCTCCACTGTGAGGTGCTGTACCTCCAGAGATGACCCGTCCTCGATCAGGTGTCGCAGTTCGTCGTCGGCTTCCTGCGCGTCTGCGATTTCCCTCGCCGATAAGACCTTCGGCATGTTGATTTGGTTGATATCTTGGATCCGTGACAATGCATCAACTACCACATTCTCGTCTCCTTTGAGGTAGACGATCTCGGTGTTGAATTGAGCAATATAATCCGTTTGGCGTAATTCTCTGTCCGATGCCTTTTCCGATTTTCTATGAAACGCGTACACTAAAGGTTTGTGGTCGGTGCGGATGACGAAGCTTTGGCCGTCGAGTATATGGTGAAAGAACTTCGTTGCGGAGAACACGGCCAGCAGTTCTCTGTCGTAGGTACTGTACTTTCGTTCAGTTGTTGATAGTTTTCGGGAAAAGAATCCCACGGGTCTCCAGACGCCATCTAATTGTTCAAGAGAAGCTCCTATTGCGAAGTCGGAAGCATCCGTCGTTAGTCGAAGCGGCGCATTTGGAGAAAGGGAAGCCGTTAACGCAGCGTCGGCGATACTTTGTTTGCACTTGTTCCACGCTTCCTCAGTCTCTGGTGTCCAGGCTACCGGTCGCTTGTCATTCTTTTTTGAATTCTTCAGAAACTCGTTCAGCGGAGCCTGGATAGCCGCCGCTCCCGGTACACACCGCCGGCAATAATTTACAAGTCCTAGAAATCGGCGCAGCTCGACGATCGTTCCCGGACGAGGGTATTGTAGGATGGCCTCGACGCGGTTGACCGGAGGTTTGTATCCATGTTGGTTGATTGTGTAGCCGAGAAAGTTAAGCTCGTTTTTCCCCAGCACGCACTTGTCCACGTTGGTGACTAAATTGTTTTCTTTGAGTCGATTTAGAACTGTTTTCAGATGTTCCATATGTTCAGCAGGTGATTCCGAGGCGACCAGGATGTCGTCAATGTAAACGATGACGAAATCGAGATCCCTGAAGATTGAGTCCATGAACCTTTGGAATGTCTGCGACGCGTTGCGGAGTCCGAATGGCATCACCAGGTACTCGAACTGGCCCAGTGATGTTGTTATGGCAGTTTTTTGTACGTCGTCCTGCGCCAGAGAGATCTGGTGGTACGCACGGGTCAAGTCGAGCGTCGAAAAGATCTTTTTTTTGAATAGTCGTTGAAACAAGTCGTGGCTGTGCCCTGTCGGATACCGGTCCGGTACCGTTTTTGCATTTAGGGCCCGAAAATCTCCACAGCATCGCCAGTCTCCTGATGGTTTTTTAGCGACATGGATTGGGCTAGCCCACGGACTCTTCGAAGGTCTGATCATCCCTTTCTCGAGCAGGTATTGTAGCTCTTTGCGGAGCACTTCCAGCTTTTCTCCTACAAGCCTTCGAGGCTTCTGAGCGACCGGTGGTTGTTCGACTTGTGGTTGACTGCGACATGTTGTTCTCATGGAGACTAGAGCTGTGGCGTCCCGTTCGAGGATTGACTAAAGCGCCGTGGCGAGACAGCTGCAGGGACGGTGCGGACCGCCACATAAATGTATTTTACCCGGAAATAGAATGGGCCAAAACACCACTGTATACGATATCTCAATCCCTAATGTTGACATCTATGATGCACATAGGCTTAGACAGAAATACTGGTGGCTGACATTAGACACCAAAATGATTGACGAAGTTAAGAGAAGACTTCGTAAGAAAGAACATCCTAGATAGAACAGGTGACCCACGAAGTAATAACACATTAATAGGTATGATAATATATGTCTTCACGATAGAAATCTTAATTTTAGGTATAATCCTATCCTATGATTAGTATTGTTTCTGCTCCTTTTAGTATACTCAGAATGTTAATGTAAACAGGTTTTTCTTAGTAAGTTTAATTTTCCTTTTCTCCTGTTGCTTAAGTATAGAATAATTTATAGCAATTTAGACTGTATGTCTTTGTTTCTGACACTCATTAGTTATATACCATTGATTACATATTGTGTAAGTATGAGAAGCATTCGTTGCAGTATACTTATTTAATTTGATAGCAGAAGGTTTTTAGTTAGTATTTTTTTATGAGTTTGCACTTGTATTACTGTTACTGTGACGTCCTGAGCAAATAAAAAGTTTTGTAAAAAAAAAAGGTTCTATTCCCGACCACACATAGATTTTGTTTTATGAATTCATTTTTTTTGCTAGCCAATGTTTATCTATCAACAATTTTGTCAATTTACGTACGAAATGAGTGGACTGGAACACTATTATTTTTCATTATTAAACACTGGTTTATTACAAAATGTTATAAAGATTCACAGGGTATTTTGGTTTACAATTATTGTTTATGAGTCGCTATCACTGCTGTTTTCTGTACAGCTGTTGCATCTATTCGGATAGTAGTTATCATAAAAGCATGAAAAACATAAATTGTTTTCACACCACGCACATTTTATGAATGCAATGTCGTCGCATTCACAATGTTTTTTCGAAAGCGACAGAGGAAAGCATATTTCGTTTACATTTAAAAATATAACTCTTTCTTCAATCAATTTAGCGGCAAAAAAATCTATTTGTGGTCGAAAATCGAACCCTGGCCGCTGGGGTGGTAGTCAAGCGCCCTGCCACCCAGCTCCGCCGCCTTCTCGAAAACACTAGCAACGGTGCTGGTATATGAAGTGCTGTGTTTTTCAAACCGGTTTTTTTTTTAAATGGCTACGCATTGGGTCCTGCCGATTGGCCTATCGTTTGTCATTACGAAGTACTCTCATACCCCAAAAGGACTTCAAAATCCGTGTGACCAACGTTGCGCCCTCCCCTTGTTAGTAAATGCTCGGTTAGTAAACTATTTTCTCCTTCTTGATTGGAGGATTCAATGGAATTAGATAAATATACAATTGAAGATCTTGGGATCGATTTTGTAACTCAAATGTAGTGAAAATACGAAAAGTGAATAGCTGTTACCCAATCGCGTATTAGGTTCAAAAGAAGACAAGCACAACGATTGATTAGGAGCTATTCACTTTTCGTAATTTCACTACATTTGAGTTACACAAATCAACCTCCTCGCCGCTTATATGTTCCGTGTTACGTGTTCCGTTGCATTGTAGAATGGCTTTAAAGAAGGATATAATAATGGCACACATATGTAGTCAAATTCAATGTCTTAATTCGTATTCTTTATTATCGTACATTTTCAATTCTCATCAGTTAAGTGGTGTATACAGTATTATTATTATGTTCAACTGCTAATTCGTAAAGAATGTAGAACAAAAATTAGAGATTTGGATAAATCGGTTACTCAATAAGAATTGGTTCGTATGTTTTACAAATATGTGTGCGCCGTTCCAATATCGCAGAACTACTCAATCGTGGAAACTCTGTATGCTTAATATGCTTGGGTCAAGCATTCAATGTTCAATATGTTAAAAAAAGCCGAAGGAAAACATAAAAATATTAAACACAGATACGTTGTAGTGGCGCTGCCAGAACCGTACAACTTGTTTATAAACGAGTGGTAATAAAAGGTCATGGAAGAACGAAATAGGTTAAGAATTGGTTTAGCAAAATATTCCTTTGACGAGATGAAGAAATATAAATTTACATTGCGGAGACAAAACTCGTGTAAAAACAAGCACTGTCTTCATATATCGTTCAATAAGCGAAAATAGAGAGTAAGCCAATAATTTTCATATAAAAAAATTATACTCTGCTTACTCAGCCTACTATGATTGCTTGCAAGAAGAAGGGCGAACCTTTCTTTGAAACACATCTTCGCGAGATGACTACACTAGTGTATCGTAATACTGACAGTAAAGAGATTACCGTAACATTGATAATTAAGCTCACCGTAGAGTCTTCTGGGAATAATCTCCCAATTACGGTTATGATTTATTATTATAGTTACAATTAGTATAATTAGGTTACAGTTACACATTATAAAGATAAAGATGGTCTCGATGTGGGTAATATATTATTTTCAGCATTTTAATCACATGAGGATCACTCGTCCGTGCCCTGTTACATTGACAGCTCGATATGACAGTATAATTATTCGTATCGACGCAATTGCCATTGTTTATTTAGAAAGAATACTAAATAACGCGACACCGTCTATACCACAGCTTCTATCTTCATGAATAACCCAGTTTTGAGAAAACTTTATCTTAGTTATGTATGTAGTCATAATTACGACATAATTACGGACACGTACTGCCTACGGCCAGGGTGATTTTGTTTAATCTTAATTCAATTTTGAGACAAACGAACCGAAGAGCCTCAGTAAATTCGCTCTAGTAGGAAATACAAGTAAGACACGAGTACGCTATTTTACGTGCTTCTGCTATGCAATTATATCGCATCATATAGAATCGCTGGCTATTTATTATCATGAAAATAGATTAATATAGAGTGTACGTGATGGTGTGAAGCAAGACACAGCAAATAATTATTGAGAAGGTTTAGGAGTAGCTCAAGGCGTTCGTAATACAAGTAAAATCCATATATAAAATGAGAATGATTGTGATCTAATAATTAAAACGATATGTCTTGAATCGACGATCGCGCAGCGACACCTACGCTCTATTCCATAATTATTAACATATGCGGCACGATACCCGTAGCATAAATAATATGACTAACTAAATAAATAAGGAGGAGCTTAGAGAAAATTTTTCCATATATACAGAAAATCGATATAAAAAATGTATAGAAAATAAAGTAAATATATTCCGTTACACTCTTCCATTATAAATGTATATATATAAAAAAAATGCCCGACATGGCGGAAGACTGCGATAATTCGCGTGTCTCAATATAATTATAAAAGCTGCGGAATGTCTTGCACAATGAAAAAATACAACACAAGTCCTTGCCACGTAAGGATAACAAGGTCGATGTTTCAGTGTCATCGCCATTGCTCTCATCGTCCTCATCGCCGATAAACGGGAAGAGAAGAAAAGGCAAGGATAAAGAACGAAGGAAATGTTGCCATCAATTTACCGAGGTCTGTACGCTAAAATCCGTATTCAAATGCAAATTCCAAATGCAATAACGTGAACAAAGGGCATAACCTTTGGAAGACGTACAATTTTCTTGTCTCTCGTCTCTTCTCTTGCACCTCTTCCTGTAACCGTGAATCGTCAAGATTCGCTGGGAAGTCAGCAAGCTGTTCTTCTCTTGTTGTAATATTTAAACGGCTTTGCCGCAGCCATCATACAAGTTTGTTCTCTCTGTTCTTTTTAAGAAATTAAATTTGAAATTTATTCAAACAAGAACCTCTAAGCTTTCGCGTGAACGCGCCTTTTGCTGTCCGGATTTTCCATTAGCTTGAACAATCATGGCGACTGAGTGACATCCGGTGTCTGTGCCGATGGGTCGCACGGCAGGCATCGCTAGTCTCAATTTGTACCAGAAATGGTAATCTCCTCCATTGGGTCCACGGCCTTTCTCCCATTGTATAATCTTCAATCGATCCATTGCAATTCCAGTCTCGTGTCCACGGCGAGATGATTTTACTACTGTTGTCGTGTTCGGTAGTTCCTTCAGAGTTACGACGAGCGTTCTTACGGGCAAAGACGCTAATAGCTGTTTTAGAGCCGTCGACACGCTTAAATCCGACCAATTGTTTCCTAGGGATGCAGCACTTAGGACCACTATGATTCGTCGTACTTTCCCGGCGTGAGGTCCAATTTCTAGTGCCCCTGCAATATATCGATTCAAGTTAATACCTATTGACACATGCAGGTACCATTTTTTAAATACTTCATGCTTTTGCATTTGACTTTTCTTTGCAATTTACGTTAAGTAGACTGTTCTAAATAATTGATCGACGCATGTTGTTCAAGAATTTCCGCTTATACATTTTTTAAATATGAATATGTCTCGTGAATACGTCGAATGAATACTGGTATCATCGTTACTAAAATACATGACAGTTATCCCAGACAACACGAAACTCAAAAAGATCAATTTCTTACAAAATTTATATTCAAGGAAATTGTATGACATTTGAAATTTCAAATACGATTGAAATAACGAAGATCATCCCAGAGCAACAATGGATGTTGAAAGTTCGTAAGCTACATGACAAAATTTTATACAATTAACCCGCAACGATAATATTCAACTAAAATGTAACCAATCGACTAATATTTTTGCTTAGTTTATTCAATGAAAGTCTATTAATGTGATATAAAAGTTACACAAAGCTTTTTGAATATCTCCAGATTAATCTGAATGTCTTTTGACAATCATTGATTATAATTTTGGGTAAAAATACAGTAGACGCAAATGTGATGCGTTATGTCAAATAATTTTATGTACATAATATTTGCGTGCATTATACATATATTAAGTAAAGATACCGATGTTAGAAGGTATAAAAGTTTGATGGCATGTTATGAGCGCGTATTGGAACGCAGTTGCATCTACAGCTGTGCGACAATTTGTTACGAAGGCTTGTACCATGCTACAATTTGCTACAGGATGTGGTTGCTTGAAAGTTTTGCAATTAGCAAAAGAACAATTGGGTGATAGGATCACGGCGTACTACTGAAAACAGTAAGAACTGAGATTTAAGAACTCTTTAAAGAATCTTGAAAAACTCATTGTACCGTCCGGGCACTGTTTTAATTTCTTGATCTACTTCTAGCTCGAAAATGAGAAAACGTATGCTTTTAATACGATGCACATTAATTTATTTATGTGTATGATAATTATGTTATAGGGGCGCAATGATTTCTATACTTTCATTACTGTAATTTTAAGACTTCATCACAGAAATATAACGACAAAGGTTTAATTGGTACTAAAATATGAAATTTTTCAAATATATTTCATCCCCTCCCAGTAAATTATAAAACAAAGTTTGTTCGTATGTCGATTCCGACAAATTTATTGATGTAAATTACAAACAATTTTACTGATGAAACCATTGAAACGTATTTACTTCATTCAAATATTGTACGTTTTTGAGTATTCTGATACGATTAATAACGTTTGGTTATAGGATATTCCGCTTAGTTAAATTTCAATTAAATACTTACAATTCTGGTGTAGGGCAGATAATTCCAACTGCGTGCATTTATATCGATATCTGGACTCGAGTGTAGGAATCATTATTCCCACGACAAGGTTTGAATCCTTTTCATGATAACATACCAACGCATCGCATTCCTTTCCGTCTGCAATATAAATAATAAATTTATTATAAAATGGTAACGCATTGTATTATTTGTATATATTGTGACGTGAATTTTTGACAATCCACGCCACAAACGACCCGCAAGACTAGGGCTTTAGGGATTAACTGATTAACGCTCCAAACGTCAATCCTAGGTTAAGGCGCACAGATTCCTTAGTATTAAGTCACCCGCCTATCGTCCGCTTTAATGTTTCTTTGCTTGGTTTTATTTGCACTCTGCTTGCTTTCTTTTTCTTTTTCTTTCATTGGTGTACTGTATCACGCTTTGGTGCCACCGTTTGGTGAGAGCTGGTGGAACAACGTCGAACAACGGGGGAAGGGAGGAAAGAGGCGCTGATTTTTGGTGACCCTTGGAGACCGACTGCCGCCGCTTCACGAGGAGAGGATGCTGCACCTAGAGGATCAGGAGAGTCCAGAGTACCCGGGATGGGGCTCGTACTCTCGTCTGCCGGCCGTCCAGCTGGGGCGCCCTACGATCGACACCGCCTTCGCAGCCGACCAGGAGTTGACGTGTCCTCCTCGTCCTGCCGCAGGGCCGCGAGAATATCTACGGCGGGCTCATGCCAAGGTACCGCCGGAGACAGGGAGGAAGAGTAGCCAGCGCCGCGGACTCCCGCGCTCCCTGGCCTACGAGCGGACCGCAGCACCCGAAGACTCCCGAACGTGCCGCCGACAGCTTCGGTCAACTTCGTGTCTAGCGATGATCCTCACCGCGAAAACCCCTTAAGCGATTAATACGTGCGAAGTTCGATATTTTGTCACGGTTCCGCCAGCGCCTAAATAATGTAAATAGTGGGGGTCAAGAGGTCTCGAGCTCAGTGAAATTGAAATAGTACTTCACTTACGTTTGGAGCCTATTAGCGAGTGGTCGAACAGGGAAAGTTAGTCAGCGTAGACAAGAGAAAAGAAAGGAGGATTGAACATAGAGAGATAGAAGGAAGGATGGAAGGAAGGAAGGATGGAAGGAAGCCCTTCTGGCCCCTTTCGGACTACATATTCTTACCTTACCGCTACGATATTTGGTGAGACCCTTGACTACCATTATAAATTGGCGAAATAGTTTCTTGGTGTTAGCGAAAATTTACCGTTAAGGCCGTCTGCCTCAACGGAAGTCTCTCCGATTTTGAGAGTCCCGATGTGAATGTCTTTCCGCATCGGGCTAGCCAAAAAGGACGATAGTGCTGGGCTTTGCGATTTAGTGATATTTCGATAAATTTTCTGTTTGTTTGATTTTTGCCGCATGAGGCCCTAAAGTAAACTCCATACTGGAATCGGTCTCTAAATTAAGTTTTCTCCTATAGTCAAATCTTTCTGTAACGGCGCGCTTTTAGGCGATATTTCCTATTATAATTTATTGATGTCTCGCATC